ATATGTAATTTTTAAATGTTTTTATTGCGAATACTGTGCCAAGTGCTTCTTTTTCGTATGTATGGTATTTTTTTTCTGCTGATTTTAAGATTCTTGATGCGAATGCTATTGGTCTGTCATCACCGATCTCTCCTTGAGAGAGTACACAACCCAGCGCGTAGTTTGAAGCATCTGTTGTAATGATGAATGGTTTTTCCATATCTGGGTATTGAAGAACTGGAGTTGTGCGTAGGGCGTTTTTGAATTTTTCAAAAGCTTCTTGTCTTTCTTCAGTCCAAATAAATGGTTGTTCTTTTTGTAGTAAATCTATGATAGGTTTTGCTATTTATGAGAAGTGTCCAATAAAGCGTCTGTAATAGCTTGTTAGGCCTAAAAATTCTCTGATATTTTTGATAGTTTTCGGGATAGGAAATTTCTTTATTGCTTCTATTTTCTTTGGGTCTATTTTGATACTTCTTCACATATAATGTGGCCTAAGAATTCTACTTCCTTTTGGAAAAATTTGCATTTACAAATAGATATTTCTTCGTTTGTTCAGTGGGCAAGCGCTTATTGAGTGTCCTTTTTGGGTGCAGTATTTGCATATCAAATTGATTTTGTCTAATGAATTTTTACAATTATTAGAAAAGTGATCTGATCCTTTACAATAGACGCATGCTGCAGAATGGCAAAATAGCGCTTCATGTTGGGGGTCATGGCAAATTTGACATATCATGATTTTTTTTGGTAGTTCAGGTCTATTATAATAATCATTGTATTCGGCATATGTGTTATTAATTGTCACATTGTCTGTTGCTTTTCTAATATTTATGTCATTTTCAATTTCTATAAATTTTTTGGACATTTCTTGTAATGTTGTCTCGTTGCCCAGTTCGTATTTTATCTCCGTTCGCATTCCTTTTTTAAAACATTTTGCTGCGTCCGCATCTAATTCTTCGTAGAAATTCTTCCTGGCTATTTCATTTGTTTCTTGTATTCTGTATATTTCTTTTATTTCTAATACTAATTGACATAATCTATTTGTGTAATGAATAACTTATTCTGTATTTCCTTGTATTATTTTGCGTATCCTAGCACGCAGTTCGTGTATGTCTTCTTGAATTGGATATAGACTTCGTATTGCTGTAATTAATTCGTCTATTGTTTCTACACAGCTGTTTCCTAAAGCTTCTTCTGCTTCTCCCTTCATTCTCACTTTCAATAGTTCTACTACATTGTGTTCATCTTGGTCATCTACTAAATTTTTTACTCGTCGTAGTCTCCTGATGTACTTTGCGGGTGTCATATTTTTGCCATCGAAGTCCGGAACATAATTTACCAATTCCTTGAGTGATAATTTGTTTGGGTGTGAATTTGCCATATTTATTGGATTTGTTGCTGGGCTTGTGATACGTTGGTTTCCTTGAATTTGTCTTTGAATTTGCTGAGTGTTTCTTTCACTCTCCTTTTCGTTTATGTATTGTGTTTTGTTTATTTTTCTAGTGTCTTTTATTGAGTCTTCAATGTTCTGCTGTTGGTTAATAGGTTCGTCAGAGTTTTTTGATAATGCGTATTTTGTGTAGACAGATTCTTCGTTTGTGTTTATGCTGAATAATATATCTTTTGGTGTCTTTATCTTTGGTGTTTTTATTTTTGTCTCTCTTGAATGTCTTATTTCAGCCCATCCTAAAATTTTCCACTTTTTGGAAAGTGTAATCCTATTATTTTAGGCCTTATTTATTTGTTATCACATTTCATAGATTCTAAAATCCTTTCCGCTACACTAAGTTATTAGAGAAATGTGCAAAAATAATTATTCAAGAGTCTATATTATGCACTATTTGATAAGATTCGTAAAATTTTGTAAGTCGCCCCACAATGGCCGAAAGTGACTCGATTGGCTAACTTCATCGAGGGCCCCAGACCACTGCTCCTGAAATCAGCGATCATCGAAAAGGCGCGAAATTACTATGCACCGCACGACTACGCAGTGGGTGCGTGTCAGAGCGTCTTCACTGCTACCGGGCAGATTTATTCTTCTTAATTCTCCATTCCAATGCTCTTTGGTCCTGAATGGTTGCGATCGATCAGCTCGGTTAGCATCTCTCCGGGTCAGGGTATAATTGGATAACGGCACGCAAGCGGCTATCTCTCTAAAAGCGGAAATTTCTTGTAACCTCGGAACGCCTCAAATGAAAATTTCAATTTGCGAGGCAACGGTAAATTGATGTCAACAATTTTACAATTTACTTCTTTATTTCCAACAACAACAAAAAAATCGTCTAAACTCGAGTCGCTCAGAAAATAGTGGTTGATCAGCGCAATTTGGACAATATTATCCCATCCACGGCTGTGACAAATCCATACGTCCCAATGAAATGAATAACGTGACAAATATCATGAAGAACAACACTTGAATATTTTCATTGTCTTGATTTCTCATTCTCTTTTATCCCTTTCTAAGTCTGTCAGCATTAATTAATGTGAGGGGTTTACCCCTACTCTAACATTTAATCCGGATGGAAATTTAACTTTCCTCCTTATTGATCTATCAGTCCAATTAATGATTGACATTAGTGGTGTAATTAGTCAGAATTTCGAATCTGTTAGTTCAAATCGGTCGGTAATGTCCATTTAGCTTATGTCCATTTAGTCACTTTATCAAACGCATGTAGATTTATTAAAAACGCCTACATTTATTTTGGCAAGATTCGAGTTGTATTTTTCTTTCTTGCTGTATTTCGAGTCCTGTTATACATGTTAGTCTTTTATTTAAGTCATCTTTTTCATGTGAATTAGAATTCACAATAATTTTTATTTTTCGTTTGTCAGTAGGTGATATGTAGATCGATCATCGATATTTTCTTTTATTAAGTTGGTATATATGTCCCTCACATATGCTCCGCCAGTTTGTATGTTTACTTTTTTTTGCGAGGCAGAAACGTTAGACGTGTTTTTTGTGCTCGGCGATTTTCTGCTGTCGAAAACAATGGATCAAAGAGTTTGCATAAAATTTTTTGTAAAAAATGGAATTAAGTGCTCCAAAACACTTGAAATGGTGAGTCTACTTTAAGTCAAAAAAATGTTTATAAGTGGTATAAGCTCTTTCAAGATGGCCGAGAAGACACCGACGACGAACCTCACTCTTCAATAACTGATGAAAGTGTTGAAGAAGTGAAACAAATGGCGTTAAAAAATTGTCGAATCACTATTAGAGAAGTGGTTGAAGAAGTCGGCATCTCTGTTGGCTCGTAACATCCAATTTTTCCGAAGTTTTGGGTATGAAACGTGTAGCTGCAAAATTTATTCCGAAACTGCTTAATTTTGAACAAAAAGACAGTCGAAAGAGCATCGCTCCAGAGCTGTTAAACGACGACAATGATGATCCTGATATGCTCAAAAGAGTCATAACTGGTGACGAATTATGGGTTTATGGTTATGACGTCGAAACTAAAGTCCAATCGTTCCTATGGAAGACTCCAGAAGAGCCAAGACCGAAAAAAGCACGTCAAGTTTGATCAAATGTTAAGGTTTTCTTCACTCTTTTCTTTGATTATGGTGGTGTAGTACATCAAGAGTTCTTACTACAAGGTCGTACGATTAATAAAGAGTATAACCTTGAAGTTATGTACCATTTGCGAGAAGCAATACGAAAAAAATGTCCGGAATTGTAGGAAAATATTTCATGGATTTTACATCATGATAATACACCTGCTCACTCATCGTTGCTTGTGTCGAACTGTTTGGCCAAAAACAAAACCACAATTATGCGTCAGATACCATATTCATCGGATATGGCCCCCTGCAACTTTTTCCTGTTCCCAAAACTCAAGAAATCCATTAAAAGACGGAGATTTGGAATGATTGAGGAGATAAAGAAAAAATCTGGAAGAACTCATTGCTATACCAGAAAGTGCTTACCAGAAATGCTTCAAGTATTGTAAAAAACCTTGGTACAAATGTATTATATCTGAGGGGGATTATATTGAAGGAAGCAACATAAATATTGATGAATAAATAAATATTTTTTTATAAAATTAAATATTCACCTTACTTTTTGAACACACTTCGTACATCAGTTCGTATATGCATACAAATAATTGAAAAGGTGTCGGTTAGTTACGAGCAAGCACCTTTAGTCATTCTCTTTCTTCTCTTAGTCACTCTCTCTTTCTCTCTCTAGCTCTCGCGCCGTCTCCCTCTCTAGTCTATCTACTTGTTGTGGCTCGTCAAATGGCCGCCGCCGCTTGTCCATGTACATGTGCTCTTTTATCTTTTTCCTCACTCGTCAGTTGCTTTCGTTCGCCGGCTGTCGAACCGTGTAGCCGCGTTTGCAACGCCGTTTTCTGGGGCGTGGGTGTGCCGAATTGCAAACGAGATGTTTCATTAATTTTAGCAGCCACAATTAATTATTCGCGGAGTCAGGTAGCTCGAATGAACAGCACACACATTTGTTAGTGATGTGTTGGATTACAGATTGTTTGCAGAAACTTATGCAGATTGTTAATCACTCTGTTATTCTTTAATTTTTTGTTATTTCAGTATATAACATTGTGATTAAGTGTTTTTAGAAAGCTATTTATCCTTTGTGTACATATTTGTACAATAATCATACCTAAAATTTAAAAAATCACATACAGCATTATGTAGACAATTGTGCAAAAGCACATAGATTAAAGAAATTTACAACGCAAAAGTTATTTTTCCTAGTTCTATAAGACTGTCTAATTCTCCGTTATATTACTTCTTATCATATTACGCTTCAATTAATAACGCTTGATCTAAGTATTTTACCCTGGCAACAAAGATATTTACGTATAATCTATAGAGGACTATAACCTAAGAGGAGTATAACCTATATGGACAGATTAGACAAATGTCTCTAGTTTTGCACCGTTCACTCAATCGTTATTTTATCCTTTTCGAACGGAGTTGAGGACACTAGAAGTACTTCCATATCATAATTCGCGTCAATGTATTAAATATCATTACTGACGACAACTCTTTTTATATATTTTCAGAGCCTGGTTATTACGAAGATGGAAAATTTGGTATACGTCTTGAAAATATTGAGTTAGTTATTAATACAACAACTAAATATAATCAGTTGGATAGAAAATTTTTGACTTTTGAAACAGTAACATTGGTTCCTATTCAGAATAAAATGATAGAGATATCAATGTTAACAAATGAAGAAGTAATTCATTCTGTTTGAAATATAGAAAATAAAGAATCGTCTCTCAATTCTGATGTATTATCTTTTTGTTTCAGATCGAATTTTTGAACAGTTATCATAAAAGGTGCTACAAGATATTGTTTCCATATTTTCAAGAATCGCAGAATATTACAGCTTTACAATGGTTAGAAAAAGAAACGCAACCAATAATAAAAATAAAATCTTAATTGTAATTTATGTATAAAAATTTAATTCACTATCATTAACATTTATTATTAAAATAAAGCTATACTTATATCATTTATATATATTATCGTAAAGAAATCTAAAATGCTGAACTACTCGAAGTTATTTGTTTTTCCCTTTCTTAACTTACATTTTACCCTGATTAAGCAAAATATTTGAATTTTGTTAAAAGCTTTAAAGTTTGGCTTACTGATTATTGTTTTGATATATTTTTGCAAAACATAACAATTTTTATAATTTATTTAATTATATAGTGCAAATTAAAATGTATATAAGTACATTTCCCGTTACATGCATTTGCTTCCCTTAGGAAAAAATCTGGAAAGCATCAAAGTTTTACATCTTGGTGAAAAATTATCGCAACTTCAAAATTTCAACATGATCATCTTTTGTGAGTCCGAAGATTTCAAAAAACTATTTTAGACTGAAAAAAATAAAAATATATTTTTTATTAACAAAAAAATAATGATAAACAAAAATCAAAATGTTCAACCCTCATAGAACTCTGTATAGTTTTTTAACCGGTTATTGCATATTAAAACTATCAACAACATTGAAAAGCTTGTATTTTCAGCTTGAAAATGTTTGACCAAACATGTTTATATGTCAATTGTTATATGACTTACAAGTGTAGTAGTAAAAATTTGATTGTTTTATTCAAATTCAAATATCTGAAAAATTCATAAAGATACAAAAAAGCTGTAAATAGAAAAAAGATGTCTTTGAATATGAAGAATATAAATTTTAAGTAAAATAAGGAATTGCAAAACAAATATTTTCTTTACTTTTCTTATGGATTTAAAGAATATCAAAAATTTACAATTCTGTTATCATTGTATTAAAATGTAATAAATAAATTATTATTAAATTTAATACAATAATTAATTGTATTAAATAATCATAATAATTATGATATATACATTATTTATTTACAACCAAAAATGAAACAAATTAAAAAACAAGATTAAATAATACATGGGACGCCCATGCCCCATCATTGATCACGTGATGTTTCCCTTTAAGGTAAAGAGAATTACCAGAAAAATAAGAGTCGCCATAACGCCAATGTTCACGGATGACTGTTATGTAGGCGTGAACTTTATAAGGGAGTTCCGCTCGGTTTTGGATCACGATGAGGACAAATTATGGCTGAAGGACGCCCACGTAAAAGTACCTTTGGAAGGACGGGAATTGATGGTACGGCGTTTCTCGCACCGGTACCAATCGATAGGACTATGGGAGGCCACGCAAACTCAGCTTAAAGAGATTAAAGACCTCGTCAGTAGATTGATTCCTGATGGAGAAGAGGTTTTAAGATGTGCCATGGGGGTTGAGCTCGAAATAGATGTTGGAAGTGCTCGACCCATCAAGCAGAAGTACTACCCAGTGTCCGACAGGGTGCGAGAGAAAATGCATGCGCTGGTCAAAGATATGCTGGAAAAAGATGTTATCGAACCAGCGACCAGTGGGTGGTCAAGTCCAGTGGTGATGGTAAAGAAGGCAGATGAAAAATATAGGTGCTGTGTAAATTACCAAAAGATAAACACAATAACCAAACCAGATGCATATCCTTTGCCATATATGAGCGACATCCTAAGACGAATAAGGGATGCCAAATTCATATTCACTCTGGACTTAAGTAGCGCGTATCATGAGATTCCCCTAAAGGAAGAGTCGCGCCCGATATCGGCGCTTACAGTACCAGGGTTGGGGCATTTTCAATTCAAGAAAATACCCTTCGGACTATCATACGCGGGAACGATTTTCCAGAGGTTGATGGATAAGGTGATAGGCCCGGACATGGATCCATTCGCTTTTGCCTACCTCGACAACGTAAATGTGGTTTCGTCCTCATTTGAGGAGCATAAGTGGCACTTGGAAAAGATATTAAAGTGAATTTTGGGTGTGGGTCTTACCACCAACAAAGCCAAAAGCCGCTTCTGACTTTAGACGGAAGTAAGGTACTTGGGAGTCCTCGTGAACCAGGACAGAGTAAGACCAGACCCTGAGAAGATATGACCTATACTGGAGTATCCAACGCCACGGACAGTGAGACAGGTAAAGTGATTCATGGGCATGACATCATGGTATAGACGTTTCATACCTGACTTCGCCACGATCGCTGAATCTAAAAACCGTCTGACGAAAAAGAATGTATTTGGACCGAAAAAACGAGGAGACCTTCGAGGTGGTCACCCAGATGCTGTTAGATCTGCAGCTGGGCCTTGACGCAACGAGGCTGATAGAAGTTCTGCGCAGATTTGCCAGGGTCCAGCTGGAGGGGGCCACCCAAGGAGAATGCCACCCGCCCTGAAGAAGGCCGGGATGACTCGACTCAGACGGAGGCCAAAGATGAGGGCGAGCGTCCCAAGTCTACAGTGGACCAGGGGGTGCAGACCCTTAAGTCCGTCATACCCCAGACGTCGAACAGTGCTAGCCAGTGCCCAGGTCCCAGGGAGACCTGTGGGGCTCAGCACTGGTTTTACAACTACCCCCGTATTCCTGAGTAGTCAACTCTCCTGCTCGATTGGAGGCACGTACGCTTGGGCCTCAACGAGCTGGAGAACGCCTGGCGGTTTACCGGCGAACTTCAGTCTCAGATGCATGAGCACCTGAGGCGCTTTTTGAATCGCCAGAGGGCAGAAGACCTGCTCGGGACGTGAGCAGAGGTGGTTCGGCGCCAGAGGGCCTATGAAGATACCCTGCTGCGGATGGAAAATGGACAGGAGTCCTCCGAAGCGTTCCCGGAAACGGCTCAAGTGAAGAGAGCCTCGGGAGCTACTGGTGGCGGGATGATGCTCACGGTCCATGTGAACGGGCACGTGGCTCCCGACACCATGATCGTGGTCAGGTCGCAGGAAGGATGTGCAACCGTCACGGTGGGAGGTGTGGCGATCACTACTTTCCAGGGAGTCAGTGCCCAGCAGTCCCGTCGGTCTGCGGAGCGGATCGATCAAGATCGGGAAGCTGGTCCGTCCCGATCGCAGCTGAGGGGCTGCTACGTCTGTGGGAAGCCCGAGGTGACAAACTCCCAGCGGTGCCCGAAGAAGGCTACACACTGGCGCTACCCGAAAGCGCCAGGTGTCGCCAAGAAGTGATGTAGGCTCTGGTGGGCCTTGAATAAACTTGCATTTAAAGAGGAAGGTTTTAATTATTTAAGTCCTTCCCATCTTTTTAGGATATTGCAGACGGCGAATATTCGTCAGATATTTGTCCAGGAGTGTTCAGATGAGTGTTCAGGACTTGGAGGGGGCTGAAACGGTAGTCGATTCGAACAATCGATACGTTCGCGATTCGACATACTCGAAGTGCGAGAGCGAACGTTTAGGAGAGAGAGAGGGGGCGCGCGCGAGTTTAATTTTCAGTTTAGTCTGAGCTGTTGTTCGGAAAACCACCAAAATTTTTACCTTGTTTTTTTGCCGTTAGCCGAAAGAACGTTTTTTGGTTTTGATATGTGCTTGAGTGGTGTGGGAGCGAGGAAAAGCGACTGAGTTAAAAGCAGCGAGGAGGGGACGAGCAGCAACCGATCAGGTAGTTAAGGCGGAATCGTCGCAGCATTCTCCGGAAGAAGAAATCGTTTGACAACATCAATTACGGCTGATCACCGTAATTGCACCGTAGGGTAGGTGCACCACTTTTTCTTCCTCACTTAAATTCGCAAGCGACTGTTATCGTATTCGCGCTGAACATCGTAGTTCGCGATAAAATTTCGAATTCTCTCTCTCTCTCTCTATCTCTCTTCCAGGATACTTTCGGTCCACAAAAGATTGTAACTTTTAATCCTGTAAAGGGATTGATTTTTATTCACAGCATTACGTTCTTTCGTTTCCTTTTAATTTATCGGATTCGTTTCCTGAAATCTTTCAAACTAATTTTGCCTAGGGAATAGTGGAAATAATCATTGGTCAACGTACACCTAAGATAAAACAAGTGTTACAAGTCAGGTGACTAAAGGTGAGTTCAATTCTATTGAAAAAAGACATTGGAGCAAAAGTATCAATCGTAAAGGCGAATATAAATATGCTCATACATGATTATCGGAGCGGCGATTAGCTCTGCATCGTGGGAGATTCTTCTTAGATAAACCCTCATTGCAACAGTTAATCTACCCCGTTACAACTAAACTTTTTTTTCCATCAATGTAACTGCCTTTACTTTTAATATGAGCTTTGCAAATTCTTGATATTTTCTCAATAAATTCATTAAGAATAGTTAATATTTTTTTCCATTCGTTTTGTAGAGTGATTATCATAGAAGTAACTCAATAGGATTCAATTCTAGATTCTGAGGTGGCCATTCTATAACCATCGGTTATAGAATAAACCGTCGGTTATTTTTTACTTGATTTCTAAATTTTCTCAACAACACAAGTATAAAATCGATAAATTTACGAACTCAAAACTTTGCTATAAAATGAAGAGATAATTACTTGAAAAATAGTTGCAAATAGCATTTTTTAAACCTTTTTAGAATATTTGTTCAGAATTATTCTGTCTCTAATATTGAAAAAATTACAGCTGTTTGAACAAAAAAAAGAACAGAATTAAAGAGCGACTGGCTGATGTGTAGGAACTCGCTCGGACCATTTTTTTAAATGTAAAACAAGACGCTCCTACGAATTTTATTCAGATTACATCATGCTACTTTTAGAGCCAAGAACTGAAAAACACATGCACCAATATCAAGACCCCTACAAGGTTCTAGAAGTGGAAGGTAAATCAGAAAACGTAAAGATTACATACAAGGATATTACTTGTCTAAATATACCCCAATAAATTACGCTTGACTCACTTAAGAATAGCGAGATTAGCACACTCTACTATCTTAGATAGTTGTAAATCGCCTAGCAATGGAAATAATTCAAATTCTCTTTCCACTGAAAATGACTATAGCATACATAATGTTACTACTGACATCGACGCTTCTATGACAAGTAAACCGTAAAAGCCAAAACTTCAAAGGCAGTGAAAGTAAATAAATAAATAAAATTGTTTTATTACTGCAATATTATAATGATAC